TGTTGCACGAATTAAGTAAATTTAAATCGGAAATTTCCAAAGTCAAATTTGATATTGACTGTTGTACCTTCTGTAGAGGATAATTCTATTTTAATTTTATTTTACATATATACATATATTTATTTCATTGTTTACATCCATATTTTTATATTAGCATCATGTAATTTTAATTTTTAGTTTAGGTTATTTATAACTTGGAGATATTAGCATGTACTTGCTATCTTGTAATTCAAGTATAAATAAAGTTATTGTATATTGTATTTGTATAAATACATTGATATAATAATTGATAGGATGTTGGGTAACGACATAAAACAACGCAAAAGTCGCCATACAGAACCTCCAATTCGACACATTTACACAGATCCTTACCTTTTTCTCCTATCAGCAAGCCTGTCAAGTCATTACGATTAATTTTATCAAGTAAAGCGCCCAAGTATTCGTTGTTCTTGGGTCCAAGGAGGCCGTTCTGCTCGAGGAGTTCGAGCAACTCGACAGGACGATTCGCTTTTTCTAAAATCCCACTTGGTAAATGTCCTTTACAGAGGAATTTTAAGTCTTTAAATTCTTTTTCTGTGATATCGTTTGAGATCGACAGCAATCGAGCTCTGTATGGGTCCATTTTCTTGAGGCATCATCCAACAAACTGCAAGTCTTGTGTCAACCCGGCGTCATTGAGCTCGAGAAGTCTAGCTCGTTCCTTGTTTAGAAATACTGCTGGATGGGTTACCTGTGTTAAATAATTCCAAGATGGCGGCGCAAAACATTGGTGGAAAAGCTCTACGTTTCGTTAAATTAACTCCAAAACAATGGACATTGCGTCCAAACTACTCACAGCCCCTACAAATAAGAACCTTATTTACCAACAGAGAGAGCGTAATGCTCAATGAAAGTAAATTCCCTGCCCGTAAAGAGTGCATGTTACCTGCAGACTGTTTCAAGGACAAAGTTGCTTTTGTTACTGGAGGTGGGACAGGACTTGGTAAAGGAATGACTAAAATGCTGTCTGAACGAGGAGCTACCGTAGTTATATCCAGCAGGTATTGTCTCTTAAATAGGAGGAATTCACATGTTTGATTAGTTAACCGGACCAATGAAATTTCAGTTTTCATCTAAAAATTTCTTTCAATTTTTATTGTAAAGAAAGTTGGATGTACTTGAAGAGACAGCAGCTGAGATCTCCAAGGAGACAGGAAATAAGGTATTAGGGACCGTTGATTTTTTATCTGGAAGGGGGATGGGGTGGGATTCATTTGGTAAGAAACCTGACCCCTCCCCCCTCCATTATATTGTTGCATAAAATATGGCACCATAATAAAGTGATGATGTTTGAAATGGGAAAACATAATTGCATTGGGCTTCTTTGATATTTTATTTGCTATGTAGATGAAAAATATTTCAAATTTTATCAATACCAATGTATGTGTAAGTAAACCGAGGTGCATGCAACATATAAAGCCATGCATAGCCAGCGATTTAAGGCCCTGTTAATAGGCCTTTTCTGAGTTTGATAAGCAGGATGCATTGATGTTTGTACCGAAGCTAGACCACAATGCACCATGTTCACTATCTCAAAAAAGGTCAATTACACAACATGATCTTTCTCGCTACTTGCAGAAGAGATCTGACTTCTCACCTGCAACATGTTATTATGTTCTGCTTTCGTCAGCATTGCAAGTTGCAAATTAAGGCTGACAAGTTGATCAAGCTGAATTTGTTAATATTTTAAAGGTTTTCCCGGTAGCAGCAGATGTGCGTGACCCAGAACAAGTAAAATCAGCTGTTGATCAGTGTGTTGCTGAGTGTGGGCTACCAGATATTGTCATCAACAATGCTGCAGGCAATTTCATCTCTCCCACTGAAAGGCTGTCTCCTAATGCCTGGAAGACCATCATTGATATTGTACTTAACGGGACTGCGTACATCACCTTAGATATCGGCAAAAGGCTGATAGAGGCACAGAAAGGCTAGTGCAATCACTTAATCCTGTTATATGCGGACTTTTTCCCTTCTTTTATAGGTTTATGATTAACTCCGGTAAAATTTCATTTTTGTACCCTACTCCACCCTTCCTAACGTTGTGCTTCCCCAACCCATAAAGTTCAATACTTCAATAGCCAAGTCTTAAAAAAGGCCTCAAGGGTTACACATAGTTTTAAATGGTTATTTTAATCAGCTTTCTTCATTATGAATAAATATCAGGTCCTATATTAGCCTGCAATTGCATGTTAGAGTTGTGAGTGCATTCCCACACAACAACCACCACCAAATTCAGCATTATTCACAAGTTACTAAACTATATTGTATGTTTTTGATGTCAGGTGCCAGTTTTCTAGCAATCACCACCATATATGCCAAGTCAGGATCAGGGTTTGTAGTACCATCTGCAGCAGCTAAAGCAGGTGTTGAAGCTTTGATCAGGTGAGGAAGATGTGCTGGAAGCACAAAATAGTAACCCTGTGAAATTCCACAGCTAACCCTAATATGCTATAATAAATTTTCAAAACACATCATATGCAGAAATCATTGGGGTTTTTTTTGAAGCGGGCCTTCAGAACTTATTGAGCAGCCATATATTTACTGGGATGCCTGTGGTAAACCAGTACAATAATACCAAGGGATCTTTAGGGCTTTACTCAATAGCGCAGCGGCAGTGATACAAGGATCATGTTTGCAGTCTATCACAGTTATCAATTAATGTCATTTCATTATCAAAGTGATTGATTGGATGTGGGGCTGAGTATCACCAGTCGCAAATAGCTGTTATACCGGGGGGGTACTCCCCTATATTGGATATATGGGTACTTGCCGCCAAACAGGGTATGGTTTTCAGCGATTCCACTCTGGAACAGGATATATAAAATCACACTCACTCTGGGACAGGGTAAATGAAATCAAGCTCTCTCCTCTCAGGAACAGGGTATCTATTTTCCCACTACCGGAAAAGGTTATGGTTTTCAGCGATCTTGCTCTGGAACAGGGTAAGAATTTCAGCGA